CTGGTTCTAACTCTTCAGGATTGACAAAGAGAGCGTCCAAAGGACTTTCCACCATTTGAAAAGGTATCAAAGCTTTAACAAAAGTTTACTGAGTTCATTCTTTTCACGATAATGCGTATAAAACATCAAATAAACTTCAGGTAATCGAACAAGAAATGTATGGTTAAAGCGACGCTAACTTGAATGGGTTGCATGTATGACGTCACAGAGAGAAACCGCTGTACATAAAGATTCTTTGGCCGTGAGACAAACAAATTAATGGCGGACGAAAATCAACCATAAAATTTCGGCACTTTTCTTTTGAATATCAGAAAGATATTTCAGTGAGTGATTGATAATGTATCAAAGATTATTTCAGCAAAGTTTCAGCTCAAATGAAAGAGTTTTAATTTTGGAGCGATTTTCGTCCAAGTAGCACTTTAAGCAAGAAACTGAATAAATTAATGTTAATTACCGTTACCGTTACCGTTTGTCTTTCTAATGCTTGTACTTGACTAACCTTTGGAGGGGGGCGTCTATTAGAGAGGGGCGTTTAAATAAATATATGAACGATTAGGGGAGGGCGTTTATTAGAGATTGGACGTCTAATAGGTCATTTACGGTACATATATACCAAATTCTCTTGGGTATCCACGCAATAATACCTCCAATTTCTGTTACCTGTTACCTATCCTCCCCGCGCCCCATGGCACATGGGGCCTTTTAAGTCTCTTTTATTAGGTGGTACCACGGCGTCCCCCCTATATGGCGAATTTGCTCTACTTCTGGTTTTTGTAATAAACTTTATTATGGGAGGGGGTTACCAGCCCTCAGCCCAACCCCAACCTGGAGGACTTCAGTGGGATCGACCTGTCCGGCATAGGTGACCCTTCCTTGAATACGATACACGACTGGCTACAAGTTCATGTTGGATAAAATAAAGTCAAGTCCAACCTTGGTACCATTGTTTAGGGACTTTGGGGATTTGGGACTAAATATGTCAGATGTGGACTCCGATTCTCCTCTAAGTCAATAATCAAGTATTTGGATCCCTGTCTTCACACACTCGTTACAAAAAAATAGCTGTTTGTCGTAGACTTCGACGACTGCCCCACAAGATTAACATTATCCCTTTCTTGATGAGGGGGACCTTGTCTTATCGAGGGCTGTCTACGGAAGGCTAGCATTTTCACGAACTCTCTTCTGTAGTTTTGGTTCAGTAAGGCATAAACCACAGGATTACACGCGCTTGATGCGAATACTAACCACTGAAAAAACAGGATCGACGTCACAAGGGCCTGGGTACGAATGGGGCTGAAGTAATCGATGTAGATGAAGGTCACGTGATACGGAAGCCAACAAAATGCGAACAGGATTACGACAACGATGAGCATGCGTATGACCCGCTGTTGTGCGCGGTGCCTTGACTCTGAAACAAAGAAGATAAATAAGATGAAAAACGTCAAATACATTATTGAATCGGATTTAATCGATATTCATTCAAGAGATTCCTGACACCAAGTCGAGTCCTCCTAACGAGTTCTTAGCAAATTTCCAAAGAAAACAATATAAAAGTGGATGGACACTTTTTGCATTTTATTTCAAAACAAATGCAGTTGTCTATATTTAGAACTTTTCCCCAAGGATCAAACAAAATGTTTACTTTGATTATTCTTTATCTTTGCCTAAGCTATTAAAAATCCCACATCAAAAAATGAGATAAAAGATTGACACGACATCCTGTGACGTTCTAGTCTTGTTTGCTCTTCGTGCCTCGCTCTTTGAGGTCTTGTTTTACTTCAGCGTATTATTACCAGAATCACGGACCACTTTGTAAAACTTAAACTACTTGTATATCGTTTTTATTAAATTTTGACTCATAAATGAAGCAGAAAATTAAATTGCTTGCTTGTAGGCTAAAAAAACCGTTGAAACTGATAATGATAAATGAATATTATATTAGAATGTATATAGTAGTATCGATAAACTACAGTATAAATGCCTATTCTTTTTATTGATTTATCTATTCAACCATTTTCTCTTTGTCGTTGCTCTCCCCAAGAACTAAGATCATCTAGCGAGATTGCAGTAATACCTCTATTACCTATGGTATTGCTGTCAAGATCAAAATAGATTTAGATTGTCAAAATTTCCTAATTTGAGCTTTGAATCAGACGGATATGAAATCATGTTAGATGATAGTTGTGATACTCATTTCACAATCAAGGAAAAAGCTATTCATTTTGCCTTTAAATATAAATTCTGACCACAAACCTAATGAAACAAAGGGTTAAAATATCAAGCTAGCTACGGATGTGACTATTTTTACTGCTTACCTTCTAGCGAGCTTGAGATTGACGGCATCCGACTTAGTGATTGCGCAATAACAAAATAGAGAATCGAGATGGCCATCAACGGAAACAAGTATAGCACGAGAAATAAAATCATAGTGTAGGCTTGTCTAGAGGCAAGGTTTGGCCATACCTCCTCGCATAGTATGTACTCAGTGCCATTTTGAGCAACTATTAATATTTTACAGAATATTAGTAACGGCATTGGAATGATGATTGAAGACACCCAGATTAATACTATCAATTTGTAGGCTTCTTTTAATGTTATCTTTCTTCGTTTAAAATGAACGATGTGCCAGTATCTATCGAGAGCGATCCCAAGTAAAGTTCCCACCGAAGCGCAGAGCGTCAGCCCCTGAAGGAATGGTAATACTTTACAAAGCACCTCACCAAAAGGCCATCGCCACAAGTGGGCATAAGTAACAACACTTGGAATGTTAAAAACTGCGACCAAGAGATCAGCCAGTCCGAGATTCGCGATTAGAACATTCGTGACTTTTTTCATGTGTGGTTTACGCACGGCTAAGATCACCATGGAGTTGCCAAACACACCAAAAATGAAAAGTACCGAGTATCCAACTATTCGAACGATCTTAGTTGTCATGCTTTCTTCTTGGGAGTCTCCTGAAGAAAAATGAGTAACGTTGGTCGTAGGAGCTGAAAATAAAGATGGCGTCGTTGATGTTTCCATTCTTAAGGAGAATGTCGTAGAATCGTAAGAACTTTTTAAAAAGAGTAAAAAAATGTCAAATACCAGTTTTTAGTCAAAAATATTTTGTTTTTGACTGAGAAGCCTGAGAATCGTTTAGCTTTTTTATGTTATTTGTAATCTATATACATAAAACGAAGCGGAAGTTTTTCAGACGCAATAAACAGATTCACTGTTGAACCAGTTGGTGCAAGCAGGATTTATTCCATGGAACAGACAATATGTCATAGCTTGCGTAAAGATATGGCTCATCTTATTACGAAGATTTTGATGTCTTAATAAAAGTATTGTTTAAACTAGAAGTAGGACGGCACTTTTATGAAATGACCTGTTTAAAAGCTTGAATTACTTCAACAAAATGGACATGGACAGGCCGAGATATCTTCTCTTTTGATGTCGTCGTTTTTTGTCTTAGACAGCTTGTCAGGTCTTTCAGGTTTTTTAATTATCTGTATTAAATCTTATATTTATAAGTTAGATTTATATTTCTTGATTAACCTGTTATAATGTTAACCAGTTCCAATGCCTAAAATCATGTAATGCATATGAATTCCGTCCGGAAAAACAATAGCTAGGTCCCAGCCTCTCTCGGCTTGAAATTAAACAATAAGGAAATTATATAGGAACAAAAAGGCGGACAAAGATGTTGTCCTGCGATTTTGCTTGATTTTCTTGTTTTCTTTGTTATTCAGCACACTTTTCTTATCCTGTAACCCATATTTTTCAGATTCCAGATTTGTCCAGATTTTATTTTCTTCTGGGAGTTTTATCTTAACTGGGCAGCATATGTGCCCGGTACTCTCCCATCTTCACCCTCTCAGTCTGTCATATCTTTGACTTTCCTCCTCCAGTGACATTCCTTTTTCCTCCCGTACTTCATAATTTAATTGTCTCCTTCCATTTTTCCTTCCTTTTACTTCTCTTTCCTCTCTTCCCTTTCCACAAATGTTTTCTAGTAATTAACATTATTATACAATTCGTACACTGAGTACGAAAGTCCTAGACTGCAAATACAGCAGGGGAAAGCCTGGAGCGAGCACAATGTCCACTAGATTATAGGTTGTTAGGTTAGTTTGTACATTAATAAACGGTTAATTTTTGAAAACTATTTCAAAGAAAAAATCATTCGTTTTAAAGCTCCCTTTAAAAACAATCCGTATGATAATAAATAGCTTATTAGACATTTCAGAATGCAATTACCTGTGGGTACCTTTTCTCTTCGTTTTCGAAAAACCATCCAACGAAACTGTATTCAAAAATACCTAATCAAAAATTAGACCCGCCAAGTCAAGTCCGTATATTGCAAACCTTGCCCTCTGATTGACTGAGCCACTAGTGGTCTACCACTAGTGATATACCACTAGCAGCGAAAAATAGCGGTTTTGAAAACCAAAACAACGCAAAAATGAATTATTTTAAGCTTGTAGTTTGTATTTATTTATTTATTTGGCCTATTGGTACTTTTACAATTATAAGCTAATAGAGGATTCCTATTTTTTTTAGCAGGAAGAAGAATAAACAGAATAAAACCCACAACTTCGCGATTTGTTTTCAATCTCTATGACTTATCTTTCATGATGTCGCAGCGGCTTACCTAAAAACAAAGAATCTTCAAAGCAACACAGAGTTACAATTAGTTCAATGCTAAAAGACATCGTTTTGAACACGCTCATATTTTGAATAAAACTTGCTCTTTGTTCTAATGCTCTGTTTAACGTTTCACTATTATAACGAGAGCAATCATGAATTTGACAGGTTTTCCACTGAAACAATCTGCAAGATCCAAGCATGGCACCCCTCTTCCCGAACCAAACACCGGTACGGATACACAACATTATCTAATTTTAAACAAGAGGTTAAAAGTGAATAGATAAGCCTGTTATCATAATTACTATCAGAATGACATAACAGGACTGACCCTTCGTAGGCGATAAGAAAGCATTATTAGGATATTTCATGGTCGCGCTAAGATACGGATTTTATCATCGAGTGTTGGAGGTGATATCTTACGAATAAACAAGAGAAAATAAAACAGATACTTCATCAATGATTATATATTACATTGAATTTATGCGCGCGCAGGGAAAATATTGTTCCACTTTGTAAACAAAACTTTTCTTAAAACCAGAACTTTTTTTTTTTTTCTGATCTAACATTATTTTGATTTATTTTGGTTATTCAAAGAATTTTTTATGCATAGAATTTGCTGAAATCGCGCGCGCTATTCGAATCGATAAAAAGCGAATCATCTATTATGACGTCATTCATTATGAGTCATGATCGCTGAAACGTGGCATCGTGACAATGTGAGGATATTTCTCACTTGCGATGGAGCTTCTTGCCAACTGCTCTCTTGCTAACTTTACTTTTATTGCTGTCAATGAAGCAAATTGTACAAATTCTTCCAATTTTCCTTTCATTGCTCAGGAATTCAAAGAACCCGAAGTCGTCCGATGGCTGCGCATTGTTGCCTATGGTATGTTATTCCTTTCAGGAGTGGTAGGAAATCTGATGGTTGTTCTGGCCTTTCGACAACCAAGGATGAAGACGGTACCGAATCTGTTTATCACAAACCTGGCCATCGCGGATGGAGTTGTTTCTTTAGTTAATGTACCACTCGTAGCACTCCATGCTCACCTATCGTACTGGCCATTTGGGAACTTCTTGTGCAAGCTTCTTCCATTTTTGCAAGGAGTTTCCTTGTCGGCATCCATTGGCACCATGATGGCGATAGCAGCCGATCGATACAAGGTTATAGTTCATTATGAGTTGCCCAAGCTGACTCTAATGCGGGCAAAGTTTTGGATCGGTGCTATTTGGTTGGCATCATGTGTTCTTCCATCTCCTCTTTTGTATTACTCTACAACTATTCAAGCTCCTGTTAATGGTGTAATGCGATCAAAGTGTACCGAGATATGGCCCAACCCCACAGCAGTAAGGGTCTTTTCTCTTATGATATTTTTGTTCTTGTACTTCATTCCATTGGTTATCATATGTGGACTGTATGGCCTCATTGCACGAGCATTCAGGAATCTTCCAACTGCCCAAAAAGGTAAGATATTATGACTCAATTCATTGTTTGGAGTAAAAGGATCATGATATGCAACTACGTGGCATCTCATCCGCACTAAGCTTAATACGGGCTTCAGGGTTACTAATAGAGCGGATTTTATATGGCCGTGAAAACAGGGGTTAATAGCGGTACTTACTTGTAAGAACGTGGACATAGAATAAACAGTGACGTTGCCCACGGTCATTAGTTCCTACAATCCCGTAACGTGATCATCACGAGTGCTGTGCCTAGTCGTAATTCTCTTGAGCACATTTCTTGTTCCTTTTATTGAGACAGGAAGAAACGTTGGGAATTCTTGTGACTCTGAAACAATACGTTGTCTTCTTGTTAGTAAAACAAAATCCTTATAGAGCAGATTTTGTCATCAAAGTCATCAAAGCTAAGACAGGGTATTTCATAACAACTTTATTTGCCAAAACATATACATAGAACTAGCGCTAAAAGGGTGTTGACAGGGAGGAACTAGATTCCCATGAATGAATGAACTGAATGATAACATCTGTTTTAACCAAGTTTGTTTATAAATTCCTTTTCTCTTCACCAGTCTCCCATAAAGCCCAAAAGCACATAATCCGTATGTTTAATGTAGTCGTCTTCTTCTTTGCACTCTGTTGGCTTCCCTATCACGTGCTATTTCTATATATGGACTACGCCATGGCAGAGCTGACGAGCACTATGCTATCATTGGTTCTCTTTACCCAGTGGCTTGTCTACGCCAATAGCGCCTGCGATCCTATTTTGTACGCGGTGTTCAACACAAATTATCGACGTCAGTTCACTCAGATGCTTAAATTTTCCTGCAAGCGTGACTATTCGGTTAGTAGTACGCATGCGTATGCACTACAAGATTCCAGGATTGTTATTGGACGACAGGCATCGTGCCCTGTCCCTTGTAGCATTGCTGACAAAGAGCAAGAACCAAGACGACCAACCATTTAAGACAAACAAAAAACTACAGGGACGCAAATTAAAGCTACATATGCTAGAAGCCTCTCTAAAAAGCTAATTTTTGACCATAGGATCTAGAAAACTGAGGCTATTTTATCTTATCTTTCTTCACTTTACTATTCTATTTTGGTAAGATTTTCTAAAGTCAGCTTCAGCGCTAAGATAGCAATTTATGAAAGCCCGATAAAATAAACTAAAATGCTGCCACTATTTTTCCCTTAAATTTTCGTATCAAGTTTTAGTAAAAACACACAGTCACAAAGTCAGGTCTGGAATCAACAAATAAATAATATTTTTTGAACTCTTTGAATATGTTGAATGCGATTTCGAATGTTGTCGCGTGATTTGGGATCCACCCCTTCTAGACCCCGTATAGTTTGATTGTGCATTTATGCCAGTTGTATTTAATTCGTAAGCCATTAAAAAGGAACGTCTTAAACTTGCTATGGATAATTAGGAAACAATTAAGTTGTGATAATTGCTCTACGCAAAACCTTCTTGTATAACTATACCAATACAAATAACTGAACGTTCATTTAGTTACTTGCGCACAATTTTCTATACATAAGAGGGGGTTAGTAACTAGTGGTCACTAACAGATTCGATTCCTACACGCTCATTAACTGGCGTAAAGTTTTCCTTCAGCTGTTGTTTAGAGCGTTATTTGGTAGGTTTTGTGACGAACATGGCGCGACTTGTTTAAGCCGCCGTCTACAAGGTTGGCGTACCGAAACTCAAGATGTGCTAAGAGCGTGAGGCGCCTTGAAGGCGACAGCGCGCGCATGACAAACATTGGTCGCTTCTTTGTCTTTACTAGATATTTCTATTTACTAGATAAGTCTCGTCTGAGCTCAACGACATTTTTATTTCTAGATATGTTGTACTGAGAAATATTGCGCGCATTACAATAGATAGATTTTCCTTTTTCTTGGGAACCGCGCCTCTTTTACGACATATATGGATATATGGATATGCAGATTTTCTAGTCCTTAAAAAACCCAAGCCTTAAAGACAACCAGAAGAGAGAGGTCATTGAGTCTCCTTTGTCTGAGAGCGGTATTAATTTTACTAAATCCGTATATGGAGAGGAACTAAACCCGATACAGATAAGAAAACTCAAAGAAAAGCTCTATGGTGAGTATACATATTAACAAAAAGTGAGCTAAACCCTTAAGAGGCTATGTCTGTAAAAATCAAACATCTAGCGGCCAAGATGAAAAAATCGATTATTTTCATATTTGGTCCAAAGATGTAGAATACCATCCCAATAAACGTACTGATGTTCATTTTGAATAATTTCACTTTTATTTTGAGAAAAT